ATTGAGGTGGGTGAAATCCACCCAGAATGATCAATTAGGAACTTTAGATCAAAGTGGGTGGGCTGAGAAACTTCTTTGTCTTTGATTTACAACCCCAATTGTCAACAGGTAAAAATGCCTGGAAAGAAACCACAACCTTGGCTCCAGTTAATATGGTTATTAAAAGTTCATGCTGTTATTGTCATTTTGTAGGACTAGCACAAATTAATAAATCAGGGCCCTGGGCTTGAATGCTAAGCAGTAAGAGAAAACTATCTGACAAACAGAGATGCCAAGTATGTATTCAAGAATTAAGGATGTGTTCGGCCGCGGTAGCCATCTCTCAGTAACTCGCCAACATGACAACACAAAGTGAAAGAGGAGGGGCACTCGCTATGTGTTCTCCAGGCCCTTTGGGAAACATGGAGTTGTTCCTTTGGCCACATACATGCGAATCCACAAGAAGGGTGATACTGTAGACATCAAGGAAATAGGCACTGTTCAAAAAGGTAACATAAATGTTACCATGGCAAAACCGGAAGAGTCTACAATGTCACCCAGCATGCTGTGGGCATCACTGTAAACAAGCAAGTTAAGGACAAGATTCTTACCAAGAGCTTTAATATGTGGATAGAACACATCAAGCACTCGAAGAGCAGAGACAGCTTCCTGAAGCGGGTGAAGGAGAACAACCAGAAGAAAAAGGACGCCAAAGAGAAGGGCACCTGGGTTCAGCTGAAGCGCCAGCCTGTTCCACCCAGAGAAGCACACTTTGTGAGGACCAGCGGGACAGAGCCTGAGCTGCTGAAGCCCATTCCCTACGAATTCATGGCCTGATGGACAAAAAGAAAGAAAAGACCTGGACTGCAAAGGATTCTTGGGTAAACAGAGAGCAGTACTTTCAGGGCTGCAAACCGTATGCCTATATCAGTTACTACACCAGCATACAGTGTGTTAGTCTGTTCTCTGTTGCTCATAAGGAGATGTGGATGACTGCGGCCGATAACTGTATAAACGGAGGTGAATTCAGCTCACAGTTCTCCAAGTCTGAACAGCATCCCACTACTGGCTCTCCTGCTGGTTCTCTTGTTGGCTGAGTCCAGTGTGGTGGGGGGCAACACATAACAAGAGACACAAAACATGTGTATCTTCTGTGTTTTCTCTCTCTCTCTCTCCCTCTCTCTCTCTCTCTCTCTCTCTCTCTCTCTCTCTCTCTCTGTATTCAAGCATGAGGGGCGACCATGTTGGCCATTTCTAGTCACAGTCCAGAGACCCCATTTCTGAACACCTGAGTTCACATCTTTTTTTTTCTTCCCATAGAGTTTGGAAAAATCTTGCTATATTTCATATGCTGGTCTCAAATTCATAATCCTCCTGTATCAGACTCCTGAGTAAGTGTAACTGGGATTACAGTTGTATGTCATCATGCCTGTCTTCCACATCCACCGTCTCTTTCATTTCTTTTATGTGTATGTGTGTATGAGCATGGGTGTGCACATGTAAGCATGGGTGTGCACACCTCTGTGTGCAAGTGGAGCCAAAGGAAGAAAGGTATCCTGCTCTTTCACGATCTTAGTGCTCGGAAACAGGGTCTCTCATGAACCTATAGATATCTGGCAGCCAGTAAGCCCCAGTGACCTCTTTCTGCCCCATGCTCTGGGATTATTGACATGAACTGCACCCGATTTTTTTTTTTTTTGCTATTATGTTGGGGATTTAAACTTAGAGTCTTATGCTTGTGCACTAAGCGCTCTTGCCTGCTGAGCTCTCCCCAGTCCCATTTTCCATCTTCTTAACAACTCAGAGTGCAGATTTAATTTCAATACATGTATTGAGCTCTACATTTTTCTCTGCTCCCCCTCCCTGTCTCTCTCCTCCCCCTTCAACCCTCCCCCAAGGTCCCTATGCTCCCAATTTACTCAGGAGATCTTGTCTTTTTCTACTTTCTACTTCCCATGTAGATTAGATCTATGTGAGTCTCTCTTAGTGTCCACATTGTTGTCTCAGTTCTCTGGGATTGTGGTTTGTAGGCTGGCTTTCTTTGCTTTATGTTTAAAAACCACCTATGAGTGAGTACATGTGATAATTGTCTTTCTGCGTCTGGGTTACCTCACTCAAAATAATGTTTTCTAGCTCCATTCATTTTCCTGCAAAATTCAAGCTGTCATTATTTTTTTCTGCTGCATAGTACTCCACTGTGTAAATGTACCACATTTTTCTTATCCATTGTTCGGTCAAGGGGCATTTAGGATGTTTCCAGGTTCTGGCTATGACAAACAAAGCTACTACGAACATAGTTGAGCACATGTCCTTGTGGCATGATTGAGCATCCTTTGGATAAATACCCAAAAGTGGTATTACTGGGTCTTGAAGAAGGTTGTTTTCTAATTTTCTGAGAAATGACCACACTGACATCCAAAGGGTTGTACCAGCTTGCATTCCCACCAGCAACCAATACGTAAACTCTTGGGGGAAGCATATACAAACCATATGCAGTCCTTAGCAATGACTCAATAGGCATTATTGTTATTCTTATTATTCCATTGTGGAATGGAGTAAGAAGGGTTAAGTCAACTTCCTCAGTAAAAAGAATCTGAACCCCTCCTCTTTCTTGTGACTATGAGAGCCCAAATCTTGTTTTAATTTACTTACTTTTATTAAAGCCCTCTGAGCTTTCTTGGACAAGTTGATAAACTTGTCCCCTTGAAATATGAAGAGGGGACAGGTTCTTCGTGACTCTGAAGCCTGTATTCTTTCTATTTCAGCACCCTTCCTTCACAGAGAATAAGGAAGCTCCCAACAGAGCAAAGTGGTGGCCCCTGTAATCCAGCAGGAAGATCATCCTCAACTCCATAGTAAGTTCCAAACCAGTCTGAGTTACATGGGACCCTGTCTCAAACTGAAAAAGGAGGTGGAAGAGGAAGAAGGTAAGGTGGTAGTAATTCAAGGACGAGGCAATTACAGGAACACCTGTCAAAGTCTTTCCTTTCCTTCCAAATAGCTGGATGCCAGAGACGAAAAGTCCCATCTAGACCATTTTTTGCTGAATCAATCTGATATCCAAAAGTCTCCAGACAATGTCAAGAAAGGAGACCCCAAAGGCTTCCCCATAGCTTCTCTGGTAGCTCCCACATATGATTTGGCTCCCACATATGATTTGGCTCCCATAGCTTCTCCGGTAGCTCCCATATATGATTTTAATCCTAACCCTTCCCCGCACCTTCTTCATACCCCTCTGTTTACAGATTAGTACAATATACCAACACATATCTAGACACAAAATATAAGTAACCCTCCTAAGACTTCATCAATCTATTCCAAATCATCTAATTCACTGTCTCATTCCTGAGAAGGGAGAAGGTCTCCCATCCAGATTAAGAAATGTTACAGGAAGGAGTGGAACCTCCACTTTCATTAGCCAAAGGAAGAAGTAATGAGAAGGCATTTGAGAAAATTGTGGCCCCGCAGCAGAAAAAAAAAAATAGTTGTGATTTCTCTGACAACCCTTGGCTTCCCCAAACATCAGCAGTCACCCAAGGCTTCCAGATGCTGCCGGCACACACCATTAACAAACATCTGCCACAAAGAATGGCCCCAACTGGGACAAAGGCAAGGAGGAAGGCAGACGGTGCCAATTTAATGAGAATGGTTTAACAAAACATCTTTTAAGCTTCCTAATTCAGTTGGCCATTTGCTCCTCAGAACTGACTGTCAATCAGGAGCAGATGGGGGAGGGGGTGTTTACTAGAGAGACACAGACTTTCCCTAGACCCATGCCCAGTCACCCTGTTCCAGAGTTAAGGACGGATGGTGAGGCTGGGAAATGGAGGCTGAGCTACAGCACCCTGGTTTGATTGTACTTGACAGAGAACCCAATTAAAGGGTGTCAGTCAGACCCACTGTGGCTCAATCCTGTGTCCAGCCTTGGTCTCACAACACCTAGAGTATTCTTAGTGTGTCTTAATCCTTCATGAAAATGAGCACAAGAACCAACAAGCATCCGGCATCAACCCTGACCTCTGGGGCTCCTCTGAATGTCAGCTGGGATAATGAGTATTTTGAACATGTGACTAAAACAGGAAGAGCTACGGAGAAGATAAAAATTCATCTTTCCATTCAAAGAAGAAAAAGAAGAAAGTCACAGATTCCCAAAGACAAGAAGACTCTGGTTGTGTTCAGGGATAGGGCATGACAATTAGAATTAACTAAAGGACCCTGATGTGTTCAGGGACATGGAGTGACAATCTAGAATTAACTAAAGGACCCTGATGTGTTCAGGGACATGGAGTGATAATTTGGAATAAACTAAAGGCACCATTGATTTCAGATACTTGGGGAATCACTCACCTATTCCTACACTCAATCCAGTTCTCATGACTTAGCCAGTCATACCTTTCTTCAGCCAGAAACCTTTCGGAGGGGGGGGGTCCTACAGCTTGTAGATGCAGCATATCTAAGGACAGTCTCCTGCCATAGCTCTTGATCTACTGTCCTGGACTTCAAAACAGTGCAATCCACTCAGATTCTCCCTAACAGCCTTCAGAAGGCTGCCTTTCCCAGAAGCGGCTTTCAGTCCTAAGTCTTTCTCTGGCTTGCTGCTGGGTGCATTACAGCTGACAGCTGGAGTGTGAGCGCCCTCTACCCTCCTTCTGGAAAACAACACTTTCCTCAAAGCTATCAAAATCTCTCTCTCTCTCTCTCTCACACACACACACACACACACACACACACACACACACAAGCAGGTACACACGCACACACACACACCCTACCCAAATCGACAACTTCGGTTTCTTGCACTGCTTTACTTAATTTGGAGGATAAGTCCGTAACGCCTTGGTGTTGTTCCATGTGATGTGAATGTGTGTGTTACAGAAAGGCGAGGACAGAGGCTGGGAACACAGCTCCTTTCCGTCACAAGACCTGGGCCTCATGGAGGTGGGGAGACAGAAAGGGAAGAAGTGAGAGGAAGCTGGAGAGGGAAGAAGAGGATGAAAACATAAAATAGTCAACACTGGTTATTGATTGGTTAGAATTGGGTTTTACTTCTCTTGAAAGGATGGAGACAACCCATGAACTGCTCCCCTTTTATAAGTTCCCCACAAAGGGAATTTTATGTATTTGCAACTATTTTTGCTGTGCAGCATGTAAATAAGCTTACATATGGATTCTGATTAACTCGAGTTGAATTAAAAGACAGGAACTGGATGATTTTTATAGGATTTGTAATTTCTTCAAGTGGATTGCACTAAAAGTTTCGAAGTGATAAGACCTTGATTCAGACTACTATTTTAAATTCATGACTTCTGGGTTTGATCTCAAGCACTGAAAAAAAAATCAGATTTCAACTAAGTATTAAACAGAGGCAAATTAGAAAATTTAAGCACCAAAAAAACCCTATTTTTTCCAAAGAATTTAAATGAAATCAAAATCCCTCCCCCACCTCCAAAAAACTTACTACCACCATCATCACTACCAAATTACCATTTACCTGTTTATACAGAAGACAGATAGCAAAGAATAGAGACTTCCTCCCCTGTGAGTATCCTACTACCCTCAAAATAAGTGAAAGATGCAAACCACAGGTTGGAAAGCTTGATCATAGTTAAAAGTGAACAGTCACGCAGTTGGTAACATCATGATTGATAGAAGTGAACAGTGAGGCAGTTGGTGACGTCATGGTTGATAGAAGTGAACAGTGAGGCAGTTGGTGACGTCATGGTGGACGAAAGACTCCTAGCAGGCACTTCATTTCCTTTAGTTGGCGTCTTCAGGAGTATATCCCGCCCTCAGGTCGGCTGAGAAAACAGTTGGGAAAGGAGAAAATGCCCCATCTGTGCATCTCATCTGTGTCCTCAGGAAACATCGCCAAAGAGGCCAACCAGACCTCACAGGCTTCCCTTCCCTCCTCGGTGGCCGCCCAATGCAAAAAAACACATATTAAACAAACAAAACAAAACAAAACCTTCCACACATTTTCTAAGCCAGTAAAACAGTTCTCCCAATAATCACAAGGATCGACTTAAACATTTGCTACAGATAAAATACAGATCTAGATTCTAAAATACAGGAAGTCTAAGTCCTGAACTGTGTGGAAGATGGAAAGCCTGCTTCAGTAGTAACCGTTACCTGTCTCTGGGGAAGAAGAAGTGAGACCCAAAAGGCCTCCCTGAAGGTCGAGAAAAAAGTTCAGCTTACGCTGAGGGAGATAAATATTCACGCTTTCTTCCCAGGAGTCTTGGAGAATGACCCCACCAAAACGACTGCTTACCAGGCTTTTCTCCCCTGCGTTCTTCCCGCTGCATTCTGCTGCAATGTTCCTTCAGAGAGTGCTTACTCTCCCTGCCTAAAATAAAAGTCCTCTGGGTGAAAGCTGTTCCGTGCTCTTGTGAAGCTGGAAATCATAATTCTGCAAGTGAACGGTACTAGCTGTAACCAAGTCCCCGACTGGAAAGCTGTGGCAGCGCTTGCGCCCACCGCCACCCTTGCGCCACTCTAGCCCACAGAGGCCGAACTCCAAGGTCATGGAAGCCCACAACAGGTAGGTCAAAACACCCACACCAAAAAACACCAAAATCATACAGACACAGTGTATTCGGATGTAAACCAAACCAAATAAACAAACCAAAATAGGTTTGCTTTCTTCCTCCACATACAGTCCCTGCTCCGGGCAGACACTACAGGGATTTCACTATGGGTAAAGCATCAGGTATCCAGAGCTTCACCAGAGGACATGGATTCTCCAAACTCCCTAGTATATTCTACAGTGGTTGTGACCTAGCTGGTTATTTCTGAGACCCTTGGGGACAACTTCAGGACAGTCCAATCTGAAGTCCTTCACATGTGATTTGACACATTAAGAGAGCCAATGACAGCCAGAACTCTACCACTGAGCTATTTCCTAGCTGAGTATCTCATTAAGATGCCCAGGCTGGCCTTGAACTCACCCTTGTCTCTTAAACTGGCTTTGAATTTGTGATCCTCTTGATTCAGTTCCCTGAATTGCTAAGATCATAGTCCTGCAAGAACAGATCAGTTCTAAGTCCAGAAATTCTCAGCATTTTATCACAAATAAACAAACAAACAAACAAAAAAGATAGTCAACTTGGCAAATCAAAATAGGGACTGGAATTCTGCTTTTGAGCTCTCTGGAAAACAAGTGGCCTATGGAGAAGAGCCACCTTAGGTCTCCAAACAGAGAGAGAGAGAGAGAGAGAGAGAGAGCGCAAGCGCTCGCGCTCTCTGGAGAAAGCCAGGACGGGTGTAACGGCTTAGAAAAGGGATGTCAAAGGACAAATGGATTTCTTCTCTTTTCCTCCCATGGTCCTCTACTCCCCCTTTTCTCAGCTCAGCTTTTTATCAACTCAGAACTCCTTAGGAAACAATTCCGTGGAAAACAGTGGGAAGCATTTGTCTGCCTCACCTGCAGCTCCAGCTCAAGAGAGATCTGCAAACAAGGAGCTCTGAGCCACACTCCTTTTTTTTTTTTCCTGAGAAGCTTTGCTAAATAAATTTTGTTTATTCCTGCCAATTTCCTTATTTCCTTCTAAGCATAGACTATAGAAATTCACCCAGCAGTTCTGTCGGTCATTATATCTCGTGTCTGTTCCTAGACTAGCAGTTATAAACCGTCAAACCTATAGCCTCCTCCCCCATGAACCTCCTCCCAAAAGCCATGACAACACACTGCTATAGGTGGTTGAGAAAATGTCAGCTTTCTCTGGCTGTCTTCCTTCACACCGTGGCTGTCACTGGGTGTCCCAAGTCTGTAGCAGGCTCCTCTTATGGTTCTACACAGCTTCTTCACACCTGTCCACCTTCATAGGAAAGCATTTTGTGGTGTCACATGAATCAAACAAAGGTTGACTTTAACCTCAAATTTCTGAGTTCTTATCCAAATACAATCACTAATTCTTCAGTCAAGACCCAATTACCTTCCCGTAGCTCATGCCTCCCAGTGCATAGCAAACGGCCTCTAGCACCTTGCTTCCTAGGGGTTCAATATAACTCCTCTCCGTTCCTAGTTCTGTCTAACCTCTGACCTACTCATGAATTCTGTGATACTAAGAGAAAAAAACATCAACTCTAGGGGATTAACAGAAAGAATGGAATTGAGGGAGTGGAGAGATGGCTTCTGGTCAGCGCTTGCTGACATCATCAGTTCCCAACACCACATTTAGGTGACTCACAACCACCTGTAACTCCAGTCTAGAGATCTGACACCCTCTTCCAGCCACCACATGCACAGACACATTTAAAAAATAATTTTTTTAAGAACAGCCTTCAGAGATCATTTTTATTAAAGGAAATTAGGATTTCTCCATGATTTTGCTAAAATTAGGGGTTAAAAGTCATCTTCTGAGACAAACACTACATGTTACCCGGCAATGAAGAAAACTTTGCTGAAAGTGGCCGGAGAAATGAGGAAGAGCCAGCCTGGAGTAGGTGCTGTGCAGGGGTGGTTGTTTTTGCTGAACTTGTGGATGGAGGTGTTGTACAAAGGGTACATGTGTGTGAAGAGGAGAAACACTTAAGACCTCAAGGGCCTTAAAAAGAATCTCAAGTATACCCTGTAGTAACAGCAAACTTCCTCTTGGAGATGCAGGTTCTTCTCAAAGCCTTCATCAACAAAAGATATACTTATTACATATGTAAAACTGGCAGTGCTGAGAGAATAGAGGTTTCATTCAAAATTCGAGGTTTACTTGGCCCTGGCTTACTCAAGACATACTTAGAACCTAAGGCAAAACTTTATAGTGCACTGCATTTTACTTGGTTTATTTCCCTTATTAGACCAGCTCAGGTGTATGAGTGTTGTTTTGCCTACATGTACATATGCCCCCCCCACGCATGCCTGGTGCTCTTAAAAATCAGAAGAGAGCATCAGATCCCATGAGACTGGAGCTGCAGACGGCTGTGAGCCACTGTATACAGGCTGGAAATCAAACCCAGGTCCTCTGCAAGAGCAAAATGTGCTCCCGGCCACTGAGCCATCTCTCTAGAAACCACCAGGCAGTCACATGCTGGTGGAACTTGGTAATACCAAGTAGTCCATGCTGGTGGAACTTGGTAATACCAGGCAGTCCATGCTGGTGGAACTTGGTAATATCTCTTCCAAAAACTTTACTAGATGGCCTTAGCCTCCTCACCAAACAAGAAGAGCAAGATTGTCTTCAGCAGCTCTCAGGATCTAAAGGCAGACCTCAAGGTCGCCTCCCGCCACTGTGAACAACAGCCTTGTCAAACTGCCCTTTTGCAAAGTCCCCCTCAGCTCAATGTGAGACAGTTTGATACTCTCAAGTGAGAAGAGGTGACCAAAGACAAAATGGCAAGAAATCCAAGTAGGAAAATTGAGAGAACATTTCTAATCATGCCACATTCTGGGTCCTGCATGAAAGACAAGATGAAAACACAAAACCTACACCCAGCTAAAGGGGAAGACCAAGAATACGGCCATGGATGGAGCAGCTGGGAACGACGCTGGAGGAGCACAAAGGACGGGCCTCCCTTCTATCCTCCTGGGACCACTTAGGCCACAGAGTCTCCTGACTCTTAGTAGAAAGGAGTGTTGTTCCCAAAACTACTGTGTTCTGAGCAAATGGAAGACCCTCCCCAGGCCTACAGACCTCTGGTCTGTATCCCCAACCCAGAGTTCTGCCATGGAGTCATGGAACCCTCTCCTTCTATCAGCCCTGCAGGCCCAGCCCTCCTCCTCTCTACAGCAGTTACAGCAGGGACTCCGGAACCACGGGATGGCACTCATTCACCCATGGTCTTTCTATGTGGGGTCAGAAAGAGCTGAGGAGGGAAATGCTAGATTGAGTTTGTGGACAGAGGTGCTTGGGTAGGCAGAGGGAGCAGGGCTTGGACCCAGCTTGTGTGTGGAGGTGGAAGAGAAGCTTGCCTGGTGCTGAGTTAGTGACTGGCCAACAGAGAGTCTAGAAACAAGAGGGCATTCCAGGGGAGAACCAGGAAAGCCTGATTGGCTGGAAGGGAAAATGGAGGGGGTGGAGCTTTGCCTGTGACAATTTGCCAGTCAGTCCCAAATACAAGCAAACTCCCTCTATGGTTCTCCCCCATACCTCCACTAGTTTCCTTGACCACCACCACATCCTCCTACCCACCATTCCCATCACAACCAAACTCAGGGCAAAACTCAGTACAAAAACTCAGGGCAGGAGGTTTAGGTTCCTACCAAAGACTTCTAGACCATCACTGGGCATTTCCAGCATTCATTAGCAGAATACTCACCTACATTCACTGAGTAGACTAGGAAATAAGGAAGTCCTTGCCTGGACAACTTCCTGATCTCTACTCTGGAGTCGTTTCAAAACATGGTTTCCAAAGGCCTGAAATGTGGGACTATAGGAAGCGATCGCCTCCCCCCAGAAACTACCTTCAAATATGGGTGAGGCTGGGACCTGCAGGGTGAGATGGAGCTGACTTAGAGATGGGGCCCAGTGAATAAGCAATCTGAAGCCATAGACTCAAGGCACCTGTCTTTACATGATGGCCCTGTAGGGACCTTTAAACCCTATATTAGGTTCAGGAAAAACTGAAGTTGAGGAGGAAGAGGAGAGAAAGAAGGCTAGCAGCAGGGCCTGGGTCTATATTAACTCTAAGATGGAACACGGGACCCACAGCAAAGAGAATTTCCACAGCTCAGCTCCTCGAGTGAGGAACCTGATAACCCACACTGGCCTACCCTAAGCTTCTCAGTTAGCTGTGGATCAAGGACATTGGCTGTGGATGAGGAGTCCAGGTGAGTGGCCCCAGTTTGGACTGCAGAGCCCAAATTCTCAGAGGCAAAGGAACTAGGCAGGCATTGGAAGACGGTGTGAGGAAAGGATGGTGGGGAGGGGCATCTGGGCATTTGATTTATGTCTGCTTCAACAACCCTAAGTTGTCTTCCCCTGCCTCAAGCTGGGATTTTCCCAGATGTGCACTGCTGGAGGGGAAGAAGGCGGCACAGGGGGAGGGTCTCTGTGTCCTTGCAGTCTGGGCCCAAGAGCAATCCTTTCCCTTTCTTCCTTGTGCTGTGCTGCCTGCTGGGTAAGGGTGGGAGGCTGGGGAAATGCCAGGGCTCCCAGATAATCACCAGGTAATGAAAAGAACTGGCCCAGGGCTGGGGGAATGCAGAGGAGGCAGAGTTAGGGCCATAAATCTCTCAGGGAGAAAGGGGGTACAGAACTAGGGGGATCTGACAACTGGAGCCCATCCAGGTGATTTCACATGAAGTATTTGGAGCTGCAGGGGTGGATGGAGAAAGATGCAAGGCAGGCAGGGGTGTGTGCACTGGAGTCAGGGGAAGAAGCTGAAAGAGACATAGGCAAGAGAAGCAGAGATGGGGAGGGTGAGAGATGGGGCAGTGATAGAGGACCTGAAAAGGGACAGAGGAGGGGA